ACCTAATGCCATTAACTCTGCAAGAGAAAGGAATATGCTGATTCTTAACTTGACCCAAGTTTGGTACTTAAATCATTTCAAAGCAGTATAACCAATGAAGTAGATATTTAAAATCAATAACATTAATATTTATTCATAAATTAGGATATAAATAAAAAGATACAATACAATAAAAAAAATCAAAAACAAGATCAATCAACTCATTTTCTTCCAATCTGAAATAATTATTCAGAATAAACACAATGATAATAATCTGTATATTATCACTTATGGCATGACCATTATCTTAGAAATTATTGGATTATTGTGTTTAATTTTGCCTCTAAAATGTTTCCTGCCTCATGTAAATGACTAGACCTATTGGACAGAAGAAAAAAATGACTTTTAATCATCATTACAATCAACCTGGGAAACCAATACGATTGTTCTGTCAGATAATTGTATTTGGGCTTTGATGAATAATTATTATGTTACATTTAATTTACACTCGTATTTGAAGGATAACTGTTTTGTTTCTTGATGGCTATTTTTAGTCATCTTGTGGGTGTTTACTTTCTCAATTAACCAAATTAAATGTCATTTAATTAAGGACTCATTTTTTAGATAAGAGATGCAGCTAATTTCTTTTCTAGTTCAAATCAAGTTTGTTTTTTTTTTCTTAAAGGTACTCTTACACAGTTAATGAAAGCTAATATCATTCTCAAAATATTAAAAACAAATACATAGCAAAGAATTATATTAAAAACAATATGACTGATTATATTCTGAAACTTATACAGATGATGCTATTTTTAAATTAGTTGTTTTTTAATCTATCTTTGGTTTCTGGTTTCTGGAATGACAGGACACAAGGGTAGATTTTGGCAGAGACCCAATATTAAATCTCCAAGTATAGGGAAATATGTTTGGGTTTGAATTCAACTATTTCATGCAAATGCTTGTAATTCAAATATTTTTTTTTATCAGTCATGAAATATGTTATATTCTGTGCTAATAGGAATATATACTTGACAAACATGGTAGATAAAATAAGTAAAGGTTTATTGTAAAAACCAGTACAATAAGAAATAAAGTAACAGTTATGCCCATGATCGTTGCAAGTCAATCCAGTAGTGAGTGCTAATATTGGAAGGTCAGTAGTTCTTGCATAAGTCTCGGTCGTACTCAAGAAATCCCAGCAATACTCTGTAGTATGTTGACTTACAGATACTTATAGCAAGTTACTACCAATAGTGTAGTTACTCATAGGTGTGACAGGTTATTCCATTACATCACAATAGTAACTCTGATCAGCTCAATAAGGTCAAATTTGCAGCTGATCTAAAAATTAACCTACATTCTTTTGTTAACAGGGTCAAGGAATCAGTCCTTAATTTGAACACCTCCAAAATGAAACTGCTCTTTTTTAACCCTCTGAGAGAATCCTTTCTGCCTTCCATCAGCATGGCTGATGCTAACCTTCAGAAGAGTGACTCATTGCACCCTCTCAGATTAAAAGTTTCCACTGACATGAAGTGGAAAAATTATATTGAATCTATTGGTAGGTCTGATACTTACAAATTTGGTCCATGCATAGAATATTGCTGCCACTTATGGTCTGGTGCTCTTGCTACATATTTAGAGATACTTGATAAAATCTAAAGAAGAATCAGCAATATTATTGGTTCTGACCTGGCATCTTGGATTCAGTCATTTTCCCATTGCCATAACATAGCTTCCCTGTGCCTTTTTTTCATAAATACTTTCATGGTAATTATTCTCATGAACTTTTCTCTATGGTACCCAAACTCTATGAATTAAACAGCATTACTAGATTGGTGGAAAGGTCTCATTAATTTACGGTTGAATTAGCTCAATGTAATTGTATGTTCTATGCTAACAATTTCTTTACTTCTTGCTTGTTGAACTCTCTTCTAGCTTCTTATTTTCCAGTCAAGTTTAATCTTCAAAAATTTTGATGAAATGTCATTTAAATGTTTTGTTTATTATTCTTGCCTCGTAATTAATTTATATTTTTTCATACTTAATAATTCCCAGCATCTTAAAGGTGTTATTCCCTTTCTAAGGGTGAAATGATTAAAGAAAACTCAGCAAAATGCTAAAATGATATTGACCAGATCATAAAGGAATCTGAAGGAATTAGGTTGTTTAGACATTTGATCAGATTTTAAGAAATGGTTTGGGCCAAGAATTTTTCAGTAATCTTTGCAAATACTTATATATCATGGTTTTTCTGGCTAATTTAACAGCATATCAATACTTGAGTAATTTGTTGTCAAATATCACCCTCATAGATCAAATACTTATATATCATGGGTTTTCTGGCTAATTTAATAGCATATAAACACTTGGGTTATTTGTTGTCAAATATCACCCTCATAGATCAAATACTTATATATTATGGGTTTTCTGGCTAATTTAACAGCATATCAATACTTGGGTTATTTGATGCCAAATATCACCCTCATAGCACAAATATTTGTTTTAACAGGAACACTGATTTTACCATTACCAATCAGGTATTTAAAAACTGAAGCACAACATAGTTTAAAAATTATTAACTATGAAAAGAAAATCAATCAAAAATGTTCCTATCACCAGTCATCTTGAACATGGCCTTATTAAGCAATGATGGTAAACAATTCTAAATAAGATTTTCCTGCAACTGGTACCACATAACTTTGACTTGACTTGACTTGACTTGTATCGGTTTTCACCCTGGCCGGGTTAAACCGGCTTCCTCCTGAGTAAGTACAGCATCACGGACCATCGCTGCCCATGCTCGCCGATCCTGAGCCAGGTCACACGAAAAGGCAAGCCAATCATGATTCCATCGTCGAAGACCAACTACTTGTGGACCTGATAGTACTGCTAGGTCATCCCTGATTGTGCCAGGCCACGTCCTCAGCTGACCACCGACACGTTTCCGCCAGCCAGGAAGAGAAAGAGGGAGAAGTACATCACGGATGAGCTCTCCCTCCGGGCATTGAGCTGCGTGCCCAAACCATCAGAGACGACGCTGGAGCAGGACGGGTGGGAGAGGACCAAGACTCAGGCTATGGTGTAGCGTGGCTGTGAGCACACGATTGATTTGGCAGTATCGTAGAATGCAGCGAAGGCAATCATTGTTGAACACTTCAAGCCTTTGTAGGTTAACCACTCTAAGTGGCCACATTTTGCAGCCATAGAGAATGATAGTCTGAACAATAGCCTGATAGATGCGCCACTTCATAGCTGTGGAAATCTCCTGTCACCCCCATAGTGACTGCTTGAGATGCACGATTGCAAACCTGACTAACTGAATTATTATCCCCCATTGCTTGTGCATGTGTTTTTGAAAAAATCTCCACTTATAAAAAAAAAAACAATGTTTTTGCAAAGTTAAAAATAAATATGGAGTCCTCTTCATAATATTGATACAGTGATTGATCCCAGATATTTTACAGAATTATTGAACTTACTTTTTAGCTTACAAATGTCAACTTTGAAACAAATAAATATGGAAATATCAATGATGTAAGCACAGTTTCAAACTTGATGTTTTAAGTAAAAAGTAAGTTCAATAACTCTGTAAAATGTTAGGGATCAATCACTGTATCAGTATTATGAAGAATACCCCCCTTCTAAATTGAAAAAAATAGATATTTTTTTTGATTCTGACAAATGTTTGATGAAAGTATTATTAATGGTAATCTGTAGAAATTAGGAGGCACAGCAGAGTAATGGATAGTGGCTCGGATTGAGGAATTGGAGAGCCAAGTCTGAATTCCAATTGAATCCATTAAATTCACTTATGTGCTAATACCATTGAGAACGGTATGAATCCTCTTCTCTCCTCAGCTATGGGTAAATAGCAGGACAGACCAGATTCTATAGCCTTGGATGGAATGTGGTCTACTGCAGAAAGAAATGGCAACCTACTGTGGGAAAAAAATCCACCTCGTCAGTCATGTATCGAAAGATACATAATTGCCTAAGCGTGTATCACGCATGATACATAACTGACTGACTGTAGAAATTATTTCCTAAAAACTTTTTCCATATTTTTTACAAGTGGATCAGTATATGCAAGTAGTACTTAAACATCAATATTTCCTTTTGAACAAGTTTTTAGTGATCATTAATATTGTAAATTGATTTAAAACTAAAAAAGGTATTGACTTCCTTGTGTTATTCAAGGTCTTTTATTAATAAACAGATGATTTATCTTACTTAACATAAGTACATTTTGTATTTGGATATGATTCAAGTTACATGACTTGGTGTTTTTCCAGCCATGCATGGGTCAATGAGTAAAGGAACTGTAAAGAAATATCAATTGATTAATGTTTGACTTAAAAGAAATTTGAATTTTTTTTTGATACTTTTGGGTGGAAATCAAAAACACTTTTGAGTTGGCCAAAAAGTAACTTGCCAAAAAAAAATTAAGGGCCGTGTTGGTACTGTAAAGGTGGTATGAAAGAAGGAGTTGCTAAAAAACTCTCATTCAAACCCAGTTCCAAAAATCTGATCAGATGACACCACATTTTTTTTTCTTTTGGAAATGCCCCTGAGTTGGGCCAGGAAGTTTTCAACATCCTCTTATAGAATGCATCAAAAACCACTTCTCTCAGATAATTTTAAAGTAAAGGACAAAGATAATTTTGAAAAAAAATTACTTATCAGTAATCATTATTCACTTAAGAAATAGATTTCTTCTTTTATTTGTGTCTATTTTTATCGTTTCCGTTTTTTATTCTGATATATTTTTTGCCAACTTCATTTTTCAGGTTTCGTTCTGATTTTCCACAAATGAATTTGGAGGCTACAGAATTTACTGTCAAAAAATATTACAATGAAAAAAGAAAAACAAATACCAATTCCACACTCTGTCACAGTTTATTATGCAACTCAAAATTCCACATTCTTCTTTTCTTTTATGTGATGTGTGCCTTCAGGATGTTGGTAATCATGGTTCTTCATAACCCCCCATCCTTTGTAGCTTTTAGCAGTGGGTTTATGTCCACATCAAAGTGAAACACCAATTCCTGTATGATCACCATAGTTAAGCAACATTGAACCTTGTCAGTACCTAGATGGGTGACTGCTTGGGAATATAATGTGCTGTAAGCTTGGGTTGGGGTGCGTGGATTAGGGTTTGGGTGTGGGTGGTGTAGTTGATAATGGCTTGGAATTGTTAATCAGAGAGTTGATTTCCAATTCCGGTTGGGTTCATTGTATTCATTTATGCACAAATATCCTTAGGGAAGATATCAATCCATCTCATCTCCCTCCAGCTCTGGGTTAATTGGTATAACTTGTGTAACTAATTAATTATTATCTCCTTATCACAAAATTCTTACAATTTAAAAAAAAAATATTTTCTGGCTTTAAATAACCTGCTATGGGTTGATAAGTGATAGAAAATAAATGAATCACTCAATCTCATCAGTGTTTATATCACAGAATGCAAAGGCTGGGATTAGGATGGGAGGTGATTGAACAGAATATCTTGTGGTTCTGGTATTCTGACTGTGATAGATTTATCTGTGTTGTAACCCAAGGGAGGTTACTGAATAGAATAACCAAACGAAGGTTGGTAATGAATGATAATACTTAGGACAAGAACAACACATGTAAGATTTGCCAGAGGCATATAGAAGTAGTAGTCAACTGCTAGAAGTAAGTTAAATGAATTCTACAATGAATCTCCAACTGAAGGATAATTGCCAACTGCCCCACGCAGTCAGATGTGGCACAAGGCCAAATTTAATCTGGGGTATCCGAGCCCATAGGCTCGGGCAAAAATTCCCCATAGACCCCGTAAAAAACGGGGTTGGGTAGCTGTCTACCACCCCAGATGAGACTCTGCCCTTTGGCATAGCCTCATCTGGGTTTTTCTCTGCCTTCAGGCAGAGAGCTCGACCAGCTCAACTGGAGACGAATCTCCAACTAAAGACCAACATACAGTATTTACTACTGTATTTATGTGAATGGGGACATACCCATTATCATCCATAGGTATGTGTCTGGGTGTTGGATAAGTCCAAAATGCTGTGAATTCAACATGAATTTTGAAGTGTCAATAGACTTCCGACATCCAGGTTCAAGAACCATGCTAAATCCACATACAGATGGATGCAAAGCCAATGAGCATTAAGCATTCCCTTCCTCTCCCTGCCTCTTAAAATCCTAGCTGCCATGACTGTCTCTTTCCTCCAATAAAATAAGTTAAAGAAAGAAACCATCTTTTCATTAATACTATCTATACAATAGCATTAGGGTCCAGTGATGATGTAGAAGACAACAGTTTGTCTTTTTGCTGCCTCCCCTAATCTCTGTTCTGCAATCCAACTTGTTAGATAGGTCATTCACAGATTTCTTCTTTCTCTCTTCCCTTCAACAAATCCCATGAGTGTTAAATTTTCCAAAGCATCTTTTCTCATTATGTGGCCTAGAAATTTGAATCTTCTCTTTCTGATTCTAGGTATATGTGCCCCTTTCATGTCTATTTTCTCTAAGTTTTGTCATTATTCCCATGTTCTGTCCATGGTATTCTCAATATCCTTCTGTATAACCACATTTTTATTGCCTCAAGTTTCTTCTTTATCCATGAGGAGATTGTTGAGCATTCACAGCCATATACGAGGACTGATATTACATAACAATCCAGTACTCTTTTCTTTGTTCCTAATTAAAATTGTTCTACTTTTGATTTTGCTGTCTCCAATTTGTAATTTGTTCTATTTACTAACAGCCATGCATTCTGTTTCCTTGCAATTGATGTTTATTAACATTATTCGGACTATTGTCCTCATCTTTGTTGCCATATTTATTACAATGTTTTGGCGGTTGTACGCTCCAGCCTTCTCCAGGTGGTTGGAATGTCGAACTGAACCCTTTATTTCGTTCAGTGGAATAGACTGTTCTAGTTCCACATGCCATCTTTAATGGATGTCAGTTATCAGTTATCTCCTGTTAATTCCCCTTGTTCAAGTTCTTCACTGCCTTAACCGGGTATTGAACTCACACTCATTGGGTCACTGGATCTAACTAACGCCATTATCCACTCTGCCATGTGTCCTTGAGAACATCTGTGAATGAATTTCTGGGTATTATAAACTTAATGTCATCAGCAACCATTTTTTACCAGTGCTCATATCGCAATTTTTTGCTGTTATCATTCCGTGTTTTAACCAGAGCTCATATTGCAATTTTGTTGTTATCGCTTTTCTCTGGCACTCCTTATTACTGGTTCCCATATTGTATTCATTTCTATGTTTGGTCAGCTCAGGAGATTTTTGTGGCCAAGCCGACCAAGCATAGAAATGAATGACAGGACCCAAAGAGTGTGAGTTCAATACCCAGTTAAGGTAGTAGTGAACTTGGAGAGGGAAATTAACAGGAGATAACTGATAACTGACATTCATTAAACATGGCACATGGAACTAGAACAGACTATCCTAGTGACTGAAATAAAGGATTCAGTTTGGCATTCTAACCACCTGAAGAAGGCCAGAGCATACATTGGCCAAAACGTTGTAATAAATATGGTGACAAAGATGAGGACAATAGTCTGAATAATGTAAATAGTGTACATAATACTTCATCTCAGAAATATAGACAGATACTTATGTTTGTTAAATAAGTCAAAACATTACATCACACTAATGATTACATATAAAGTAAATTCTGTTAAATTTGTTACCTTCTACTCTACAGGCGAATCACCAGGGCTAGCATATATTACCTCAGGACATACATTTTATGCATAATTTCTAAGCTTACTTTAGTACAAGGTTATAGGCTTGAGCACTGTGTGATGGCATGGCTCCATGGGTCACTTGTTTGAATATAGATCCTACCATACTCTATCATTCATCATCATCATCCTTTGACCTTTGACCTACCTGTGGTTGGTTGGAACTCCATTAACAATCTCTTTTGATACTGCTTGGTACTGAATTGCCATCTCCAGATCCTCAATGTCCAGCCTCGACCTAAGGTGTCTGAGAAAGTAAACTTTTATGTGAAGACACCTCTGGAAGGATGCCAAAGAAGTAAAGATGCGATGCACCTTGCTCCTGCTCAGCTTGGTAGCAGTGACTGCAAACTGCAATCACTTTTGTTTGAGCTTAAGAGATATTGGTCTCAGTTCTCTCTAAATTAAGAGTTGTGTGGGATCTCCAACTGATCATTTGGATTTTTCTAAGTAGATTTGTATATGTTCCATCCAGTCGTCTTTCAAGACAAACCAATAATGTCCAGTACATTAGAACTGGTTCTATCAGTGTTTGAAAAGTTTGGACTTTTAAAGTGGATGGAAGTTTCAAGTGCTAAATCTTTACAAGAGTCTGATCAAACCAAAGAGGAAGTATTTCTGCCATATGTGGGCTTTAAATGCTGAATCCTGTCTTTCCAGCCTTGACAGAGTTTAAAAGCATCTACACAGCCTTGTAGGTGATTAATCTTTTCCCACCCTAGAATCCCAGTCCCATAGACAAATGTTGCAAGCCTGCTGTTAATCTACAGCTGTTTTCAAGAGAAAATTACTTCATTTCAGCAGTTCAAAAATTTTGTGCCTAAGACTCACCTGGGGATGAATAATCTTCAATGTTTTCTATTCCATTGGTGAGAAGGTAGTTTCAGTTGGACGATTTCTTCCAAAGAATGGCTGCTTTATTGAACAGACTCCCATGAGGATACTTCCCCGATCACTACTATCTTAATCTCCTCAATAATTATCTATTCTACATATACTCATAATCTGCACTTCTTTTCTGCTCCTCTTATGCATATAAAACCTCATTCAGTGACCATCTACCTTGAGTGACTCTTTTACCTTGTATTGGGTGAACAATATTAAAAACAAAAAAGATCAATTCTAAAATTGCTTGACTTTTGAAAACTTGCATGTAAACAGAAACAGATGACTGTAGCAACTGGTGCTAGCAATTTTATTCAAGGGCTTGGGCTATGAAGATAACCATTATTGTATTCTTTCAAAGATCAATAATGCAATCAAGAGTTTTTCAGAATTAATTGGATGCTTTCAAGATCTTTCAAGATTAATTAATTGCAATGAATAAACAAGTAAGAACAATAATCTAAATACATTAGAAAATTAAAAAAAAAATATTTTGAATATGATTACTTACAACTTTGAATAAAATTCAAATACAATGAATTTTTAAAATCACACAGGTTATTTGACAGATATTCATTAAATGATGCCTTTCTAAAGCTTTTTTTATCTTTAATTTGTCAGATTTTATACTTTGATAAATTTTATCCGTAAATGACATTTTGTATTTCAACACAGTGAACAGCCATAAATTGATTCTAGCCTGTAACTTAATATATTTATCACCGTTTCATTTCCTGGAAAGCAATCATGCAAATAGAAAATATTTTATGCTATTTTCTTTTAATTCAAATTTATAAAATATTTTTTATGCATATTTATAAAATTATTTATAAATGTTAATTGCCCAAAGACAAAATGTATGGTTGTCAGCAAAAGAGACAACCCAAGATGTGAACTGCATATTGGGGATGTCAGAATCCAGAAGGTAGAGAAATTAAACAATCCAAGTATTGTAGTAACAGATAAAAGAAAGGGCAAGTAGTGAAAATGAATTCCAGAAACTCAGCAAAGTATTAAGAGATGAGAAAATACTATTGAAATGTTATATATCTAATCTACTGCAGTGCCTATTGAAAGTTTGTGAGGACCCTCAAATATGGTCATCCTTTTTATTGTAAATATATTTAAAATAATCCTATTAAAAGTGCATCCAAATATCAATTTGTAAAGAGAAGTTTTCAAATATGAACACAAAACAAAAAAAGGATATATTTCAAATATTTATTCCAATAAAAGGGATTAATTTCAACAAAACTGAAAAATTGACATGTAAAATATATATGAACCCTTTCAAATTTTACCTTGTGGTCCCTCTTCTTGCACAAATTACTTTGGCCAAATGTCATCTATAAACACTGACCAATCACTTGCATCTGCTGTTATTAATTCTTATCCACACCACCTCTCAAAACCCAGCCAGTTAAGATAGATTGGATGGACATCTAGCATGAACTGCCAATTTCAGGTCTAACTGTAACATTTCT